AAAGAACAGTTACCAGATCAATCGCTGCGTAACAGGTGCTCAATTGTATTGATTTGTTTCTTTAAGGCAGGCGGCCCCCTGAGGCCATTTATCCGACCCCCCCCCCCCCCGCACTTCAGGAAGGGGCACCTCTTTCATCGGTGGTCAGTGAGAGGAGCACAGTATGTGGCGGCCCTCCAACAGTCTGAGGGACGGTGAACTGGCCCCCTGTGTAAAAAGTTTGGGGACACTTGCTTTAAGGAGAACGCATTTCAAACAGCAGCTGCAAGGGGAGTCACCTTCTGACTGAGCTGAGGATGGCCTAGGCATTCCCCAAAACCATCGTTTTCTGCCGAAAGATGGAGAAAGAAGTCTCACACTGCCGCTAGTCTATGCAAGCCCTCGTAACGCTGTGCGTTCTCTGACAGGCTGCCGTGGCAGGAAATCCACGGCTCTCCTCCTGGCTTTTCTTGGTGAGGCGAGGGGTGACAACGTAGCTGACATCTGCTGAATACTTGCTGTGTGTGAGACCCTGCTCCAAGTAGTTTATATTTATTAGCCAATGTGGTTTGGTCCTCTCCGAATCTCATATTGAAATGTGATCCCCAACGTCCAAAGTGGGGCCTCATGGGAGGTGTTTGGGTCACGGGGGCGGATGCCGCTCCTCACCCTCATGAGTTCTCACTCTGTGAGATCACGAGCTCACAGGAGAGCTGATTGGTTACAGCGCCTGGCATCGTTCTTGCTCCGCCACTTGTCACGTGGCACACCTGCTCCTCCTTTACCTTCTACCATGAGGAAAGGCTTCCTGAGGCCCCAGAAGCTGAGCAGACACAGGTGCCAAGCTTGTGCAGCCTGCAGAACCACGAGCCAAGTCAACCTCTTCTCTTTATAAATTACCCAGTCTCAGGTGTTCCTTTAGAGCAACGCAAGACCAGAGGAACGTGTTAGCCAAGTGATCCTCCAAACAAAAACTCCACAAGCTCTAGAGGCAGTGGAGTCGTCATCCCTCTTTTAACACATGAATGCAGTGGGGCGGGGGCTTAAACTGGTAATTTCCTATTATACAACATATGATAATTCATTTCAACAGAGTCACAAAAAGTCCCTCAAGCTTTGATTTTTGGAATTTAGGAGTATTTAGCTCGCTCTGGGAATAGAGGGATGATTCTCCTTCAAGGACTGTGCAGTTGTTTAACGTTCTGTGTTCCTCTGATACTCTCAGCAGTGCGAGAACACAGAGGGAGTGTGCCCGTCTATGGAGGTGCCCGCGGGAGGACTCGGCAGCAGAGGGTTCCACCCACACGGGAAAGATGGACAGCTACTGGGTAGCAGAAACAAACCCAACAAAACCTGACTCATAAAACCTGTGAGCAACGCCCCCAAATCCGAAGCAGCTGCGGATCACAAATCAGCCAGTATTCCAGTATCCCAGTATTCAGAAATAACAAATGTGCAGACCGGGAGCAGTGACTCCCGCTTAAACCCCAGGACTCGGGGAAGTCAAGGTGGGAGGATCACTTGAGCCCAGGAGTTTGAGACCAGCCTGGGCAATAGGCAATATGCAATATGGCGAGACTCCGTCTCTTAAAATAAATAAATAAATAAAGGTGCCGGGCATGGTGGCACATCCTTGTAGTCCCAGCTCCTCAGGAGGCTGAGGTGAGGGTGGGTCACCTGAGCCTGCGAGGTGAAGTCTACAGTCAGTGAGCCGTGATGGCATCACCGAACTCCAGCCTTGGCAACAAAGCAAGACCCTGTCTCTAAAAGGAAAAACAAACAAAAATTGAAAAAAAAAAAAAAAAAAAAACAAATGTGCAAACATTTGATGAATAATCCAAATATTTCTCTCCATTTTTACAGGGGTAAATTTCCATAATTATGGAGAGGCAGAAAGAGGGGGAGAGAGAGAGAATTTCATAACAGCGGGATATTTTATACATTTCATTTTAAAAATAAAATGTTAAATTTAACAAATGAAAATAAACTAGTGAAGCTCAAGGAATTGCTGGATGCATAAAAATCTCTTTAAAATTGTGTACAAAAGAACATATGTGATATACATGCGCCTCGGTAAGGACAGTAGAATGTGGAGGCTGCATGTCGCCAGCATGATCACATCCTGGTCTGTTTCCACTCCTCCCCATAGACGAATCCACTCTTACAAATGTGCTCACCATTCCCTTACTTTTAAAAGATAATTTTCAAAAAATAAAAAATAAAATAAAATAAAATCATATATACACCTTCGCTGGGTTTGGTGGCTCAGGTCTGTAATCTCAGCACTTTGGGAGGCCAAGGCGGACAGATCCCTTGAGGTCAGGAGTTCAAGACCAGCCTGGCCAACATGGTAAAACCCTGTCTCTACCAAAAAATACCAAAATTAGCCAGGCGTGGTGGCAACACACCTGTAATCCCAGCACGTTGGAGGCTGAAGCTACATAGGTGGCTGAGGCAAGAAAATCACCATGTTGTACAGGCTGGCCTCAAACTCCTCGGCTGAAGCGATCCTCCCATCTCAGCCTCCCAATGTGCTGGGATTACAGGAGTGAGCCTAAATTCGAATTTCAGATAAACAATGAGTAATTCATTTAGTGTATATCCCCCAAACTGCATCCTGTTTATTAGCGAAATCTGGCAACCCTAAACCCAAGCCATACCCAGTGCTCTAAATGCCGGTCAGTCCCCTGGCCCACGCTATGCTGAGGAGCTGACCCTTTGTTCTGGGCCTCGTCGGAGTCCCCAGGCCAGGGACCACCCTGCGGCACTGTCGTCCTCACAACCTCATTCCTCAGCAGCTTTTCAGCGCTGTCAGACTGTTTAAAGAACACTGATTTCATCTGTCTTCTCTGTTGCTGTCACTGGGAAGGCTGCACCTTCTGCCCTGCCACCTCTGCTGCAGAATCATACGGGCTCTCCCAACATCTCCTTTGCAGAACCACAGACTCCTCCCGCCGTCTCCTCTGCAGAGCCCCAGACTCCTCCCGCCGCCTCCTCTGCTGAGCCCCAGACTCCTCCCGCCGTCTCCTCTGCAGAGCCCCAGACTCCTCCCGCTGTCTCCTCTGCAGAGCCCCAGACTCCTCCCGCCATCTCCTCTGCAGAGCCCCAGAATTCTCCCGCCGTCTCCTCTGCAGAACCAGAGTCTTCTCACCATCCCTATTGCACAGCCACGGAGTGTTCCTGGCCTACTGTTTTCCCTGCAGAATTTTGTGGACACTGCTTCATTTTCTTCTAATATTTAGTGTTTCTGTAAAGGGCCTTAGGAGGTGGGCGTCGTGCACAGGCATGTGCCTGTGGTCCCAGCTACTGGGGAGGCTGAGGTGGGAGGATTGCCTGAGCCCGGGAGGTGGGAGCTGCAGTGAGCAGAGCCTGCACCACTGTGCTCCATCCTGGGTGACAGAGTGAGATCCTGTGTCGAAAAGAAAAGAAAGGCCTCAGGAAATCCAGACTTTCCTCTCACAGGTGCTTCGCCTTTTCTCCTCCGAGCTTGAAAAACATTTTGTTTTGAGGCGCAAATTCGGCAAGTTGTGTCTGATGCCTGTTGTTCATGCCCTTTGTTTTCTGACATTTTTCTTTTTGCCTCTCTCGTCCTAAGGTTGCTTTCAGGCTTTCCTGGATTTTATCTGGAGTGTTTGGTCCGTTTCCTCCGTCGGCCTCTGCATCCTGGCCACACGTGCTTCTCATGACTGTGTCCTCTCGGTCCACCGCGCCGTCCCGTCCTCCTAGCTGCTGGCAGCTCTTCCTTTACTCTGACTCCTCCGCGGTGACTCTCCCACGCCACTCCACTCTCCGCCCCGCCCCCCGGCGGCTCTGCCCCGTGCCCTGGTCTTCTGGGCCTCTAGGTCTCTCCTCACGCCGCCATCCCGTCCATGCTCCCGGGAGCCTGGCTGTGGGAATCAGAGTCCCTGGCTCCCGAGCGGGATCACCTGTGGACCCAGCTGAGCTGCCTGGTTGCTTCGGGCCTGGGCTCTCGTGGCGGCCTGCACGGCTGTGGCTCCCTGCCGGGTGCCCGCGTGGCCCGACAGCCTCGCCCGGCCCCCTGTGTGCCCTGGTACAAGTCACACCCACTGGGCGCACGCTGAGGTTCACTGGGGGGGAGGCGCCCGAAGCGCCCATTACCAGACCCTTAGAAAGCGGCCAGTATCGTTCCATGTTAGAGCTCCGAGGCCCGGGGAGGCTGCATGGCGCCCTGACTTCATGAGGCAGCCGAGGCAGGGCTGGGCCCAAAGGCCTCTCCTCCGTCGCCTTCCTCCCGGCAAGGCGGCTCCAGGCTACGGCTCAGCGCTGGGTGGCAGCCGCCATGGGGCGGGGCGGGGGCGAGGCCGAGTCCTGAGAACGGTGCTCCCGCTGGGGCCCTGGGCTCCGCGCCGTCGTCTGAGTCCAGTGCGGCTGTGATGAGGCCCTCCCAGGCCAGGGGTCTCCCGGCCAGCCCAGCCTTTGCCCGCTGGGGCCTGGATGCAGGAGAGGCCTCCGGCTTTCAGGGGAGGCGAGTCCTGCGGGGGACGGGGCTGCTTCCTCACCGTTCCTCGGGGCTCCCGGGCTGCGGGCTCGGCGGCGCTCACAGGATCCCCGGAGGCGCGGGGGGTGGGGGGTTCCCGCAGACCTGGGTCCTCTCTCCGCCCCGGGCCTTCACGCGGCCGCCTCGTGTGGCCTCTGCAGGCGCGTGCTCGCTCGGCGGCATCTGGCGGCTTTCAGAACCGTCTGGGTCCTTCCGGGGGCGGGGTCTCCGCCGGCTCCATCCCAGGGGCGCAGCAGGCGTGGCTGGGGGCGAGAACGCGGCCCCACGAGCCGTCTCCCCTCCCCAGGGCCGGCCGCGGAGGACCGAGCCGCCAGCGCGATCCAGGGCGCCTTCCGGCAGCTCCGGGCCAGGAGGGAGCTCGCCCGCCGCCGGGAGGAGCGCCGGGAGTACCTGGAGCAGATGGAGAAGCTGCAAAGGGAGGTGAGGACGGGCGGTCGGCAGGGTGCGGGGGTGGAGCTCAGGCTGGGCCGGGCCCTCCCGGGCGTGAACCGTGACCTCGGGGCCTGCAGGCCTATCTGGCCCTGGTGCGCCGGGAGCAGGAGGCCGCGCGGCGGCGGCGCGAGCAGGAGGAGGCGGCGCAGCGGGAGCGGCGGGAGGAGCTGGAGCGCCGCCGCCGCCTGCTGGACGCCGCCTTCGACGGGGACGTGAGCGAGATCCGGGCGGTGCTGCAGGAGGTCGGCAGGGGCGGGGCCGGGGCGGGGCCAGGGCAGGAGCGGGGCGTGGGCGTGGCGCGTGGGCGGGTGGGCGTGGCGCGGAGTGAGGCGCGTGGGCAGGGGCGGGGCCGGGAGCGGGGGGCGTGGCGCGTGGGCGTGGCGGGCTCGTGGGCGTGGCGCGTGGACGGGTGGGCGTGGCGCCGAGTGAGGCGCGTGGGCAGGGGCGGGGCCGGGAGCGGGGGGCGGGGCTCGTGGGCGTGGTTGGCTAGTGGGCGTGGCGCGTGGGCGGGTGGGCGTGGCGCGTGGGCGTGGCGCGGAGCGAGGCGAGTGGACGGGGCAGGGGCGGGGCCGGGGCCGGGGCCGGGGCCGGGGCCGGGGCCGGGTGGGGGGCGGGAAGGGTCGGGGCGCGCGGTGGGGGCGTGTGCGTGGTGCGTGGGCGGAGCGAGGCGCGTGGGCGGAGCCAAGCGCGGTGACCGCCGCGGGCGGCCCAGGTGGAGCAGCTGCTGACCCGCGAGGGCGTGGGCCACGACGAGGCGGGCAAAGCGCGGCGGCTGCAGCGACGCGTGGCCCTGGTGGAGTGCGAGGACAGCAGCGGGAACACGCCGCTGTCCGAGGCGGCCGCGGGCGGGCAGCCCCTGGCCATCCAGCTGCTGGCTGAGCTCGGTGCCAGCCCCAACAGCAAGGTGGGCGCCGTGGGCTGCAGGCCGGAGCGAGCGCCGGGGGGCGCGGTCCGGAGCCCGCGGGGGCCTCCTTCCCCCGGGACGAGGCCTGGGTCTTGCTCAGGAGCCCGTCTCGCAGGGCGCCTTCGGTCGGACGCCGCTATACCGCGCAGCCTTTGGGGGCCACCTGGAAGCCGTGGAGGTGCTTCTGAAGCTCGGAGCAGACCCACGGGTGTACGCAGAGGACGGGAGCACCCCTGAGCAGGTGTGGGCCTGGGAAGTGTGGGCCCCGGGAGGTGTGGGCCCCGGAGGTGTGGGCCGGGCGGATGTGGGCCCCGGAGGTGTGGGCCTTGGCAGGTGTGGGCTCCGGGTATGGGCCGGGCAGATGTGGGCTCCGGGTGTGGGCCGGGCAGGTGTGGGCCGCGGGAGGTGTGGACCAGGCAGGTGTGAGTCTAGCAGGTGCACACTCTGTCAGGGCAAGACTCACCCCACCCACTGTGTCTGAAAGCTGTCAGGAGCCCGAGTGGCCCTGCTGGAGCTAGCCCCTCAGTGCCCCATTCCCTTCCCAGAAGTCCTGACTTGTCAGTCTGCAATGAAGGCAGAAGCCACTCCCATTTTGTGAATGCCTTTTTGTGTCGGATTTCATATCATTTCCTTCCATGCTTTACCTGAGGAAGTGGTGTTACTGATGGAGAAACTGAGGCTGGCGACTCCAGGGTTGGCAGAGAGCTCATGGTGGTGGGGGAAGCACGGGGCCCACGAATACAACCTCTCTCTCTGCACTCCCGCTTTCCAGAGAAAAGGCTCTAGGTAGGGACTCTGGCTGGCCACGGAGTTATGCCGTGTTAGGAATGGCAATCTGGGCCAGGTGGGGTGGCTCACTCCTGTAATCCTAGCACTTTGGGAGGCTGAGGCGGTCGGATCACCTGAGGTCGGAAATTCAAGACCAGTGTGACCAGCATAGAGAAGCCCCATCTCTACAAAAAAATACAAAATTAGCTGGGCATGGTGGCACACACCTGTAATCCCAGCTACTTGGAAGGCTGAGGCAGGAGAATCGCTTGAACCCGGGAGGCAGAGGTTGCAGTGAGCTGAGATTGTGCCATTGCACTCCAGACTGGGCAACAAGAGCGAAACTCTGTCTCAAAAAAAAAAAAAAAAAAAAATGCCAGTGTGGTTGGACATGGTGGCTCATGCCCTCACACCTGTAATCCCAGCACTTCGGCTGGCAGAGGTGGTGGATCACTTGAGCTCAGGATTTTGAGAGTAGCCTGGCCAACATGGTGAAACCTTGCCTCTACTGAAAATACAAAAATTAGCTGAGCCTGGTGGTGGGTGCCTGCAATCCCAGCTACTCGGGAGGTTGAAGCAGAATTGCTTGAACTTGGAAGCAGAGGTTGCAGTGAGATTGCCCCACTGCACTCCAGCCTGGGTAACAGAATGAGAATAAAATAGAGTCTGCCCTGGGCTAGACCGGAGACACCATGCCTGGACTTGTCCTGGGCCCGGGATTGACTCTGCCTGTTGGAGCAGTGGCTGGAAAACCAGGCCACGGACTTCGCCTGCCTTGGTTTCATTTAAATCAACTTAACTTGAACACCAGTCCCTCTCCCGACTGTCATTTTGTTCCCTCACCCCACTCCCAACCCCACCCCACATCCCACGAAAGTCTGGAGGTGCTGCCTGGAGCCTGTGTTCTGCCTCAGGCCCACGCGGACACCTGGGAGATGCTTCCACTCAGCCACTGCCAGAGCCTTTGCTCACCTAGGGACCCACCCCTCGACTCTCCTCCTGTGGGTACTGCCTGGGAGCCTGTCTTGCCCCTCTCTTCTTTCTCCTTGTCTGCAAAGGGTCCTTTCTGGGTTGGTAGAGAGGGGCAGGGCCGAGGCGGTGGGCTTAGGGAGTGGCCGAGGAGACTGTGAGGTGTCCAGAGGTTCAAGTGGGAGTCAGGGGTGCTGGGGTGTCTGGCAGACCTGCTGCCTGGGGCGTGGAGGCCCGGAGAGCTGAGAAGGGCAGCAGCTGGGGGTGCTGGGGGAGCTCTTGGGTGCCAGGGGGTCATGCACTCCATGGTGCTGGAGTGTTGACCGTCCATAGGCAAAGGGGTTAGTGTGGACCGGAGGTGCACACCCTATAAAAGATTAACTCAAAGTGGATTATCGATTTAAATGTAAAGTGTAAAACTACAAAACTTTTAGAAGAATGCATAGGAGAAAATCTCTGGGGCCTGGGACTTGGTGAAAAGTTCTTGGACGTAGCACAGAAAGCGCAATCCACAAAAACACAATCCACAAAAGGAAAAAACAAATTGATAAACTAAACCTCATCAAAATGTTAAACGTTTGCTTTGTGAAAGACTTGTCAAGAGGAAAAGACAAGCCAGAGACGGGAGTAAACCTTTGTAAACCACGCATCTGACGAGGGACATGTGTCTAGAACATACAAAGAACGCAAATTTCAACAGCAAATAAAACACACAATCTAGGCATAAAATGAGCAAGGACATGAAGAGACATTTCACCGAAGAGGATGTGATGATGGCAGGTGAACACCTGAGGAGGCGTTGCATACCTGGGACGCTCCTCACACCTCCCAGGACAGCCGAAGGGAAGCTGGAGGGCAGTGGCGCGATCTCAGCTCTTTGCAACCTCCGCCTCCCGGGTGTGACGAACAAACTGAAGTGTTTAAACCCAAAGAATGGACCTAGAGACCCGGGAACAGTGAAAGTGAAACTTTTAATGACGGTTTTGCAAGAGTGTGAGTTTGATGAGCAGGCACACTTAGCGCAGTTGTAACAAGCTCTTTGTTGAATTAATAAATGAACACCCGTGTTTTCATGTAAAAAGAAAAATTAAAAGCCTAGTAAAGAGCTCTCACCCAATGAAAAGCCCTGGGCCCCCCTAACTTGCCCCCTACAATACATCTCACAAAGTCGAGGACAGGGCGACCAGGGGGCTACAGGAAGGGTCTGAACCCAATGCTCCCTTAAACCCTTTCCAACTTGAGGAAAAAAATAATGTAAGAAGGACATGAACAATTTCCCTTTTCCTTCTAAACAGTAAGTGTCTAACATGTACCCTCTTAGAAAAGTCCCTGTGAGACAGGGAGCCGGATTTGTGAGTGCACCTCTAAGAAGAACTGAGGTTAGGAATTTTAAACAGAAAATGAGGCCACTCTTGAAAATCCCTTCAGTTTAGCAAAGCAGTTAAATCCATTTTTAAAACCCAATTTTTGGCCGGGTGTGGTGGCTCACGCTTGTAATCCCAGCACTTTGGGAGGCTGAGGCGGGCAGATCACCTGAGATCAGGAGTTCGAGACCAGCCTGGCCAACATGGAGAAATGCTGTCTCTCCTAAAAATACAAAAAAAAAAGTTGGGCGTGGTGGCGCATGCCTGTAATCTTAGCTACTTGGGAGGCTGGGGGTGGGGGATAACGAAGTCAAGAGACTGAGACCAGCCTGGCCAACATGGTGAAACCCTGTCTGTACTAAAAATACAAAAAATTAGCTGGGCATGGTGGCATTCGCCTGTAGTCCCAGCTGCTTGGGAGGCTGAGGCAGGAGAATCACTTGAACCCGGGAAGCAGAGGTTGCAGTAAGCTGCGCCATTGTACTCTGGCCTGGGCGACACAGTGAGACTCCATCTCAAAAAAAAAAAAAAAAAAAAAATTAGCTGGGTGTGGTGGCACCTGTAGTCCCAGCTACTTGGGAAGCTGAGGCAGGAGAATTGCTTGAACCTGGGAGGTGGAGGTTGCAGTGAACCAAGATTGCAGTGAGCCAAGACTGCCCTCCAGCCTGGGCAACAGAGCAAGACTCCACGTCAAAAAAAAAAAAAAAAAAAAAAAAAAAAAAAAAAAAAAAAGAGCTACAAGTAGAAATAAACAGACTCAATAGGCCAGGCGTGGTGGCTCACGCCTGTAATCCCGCACTTTGAGAAGCCAAGGCAGGCGGATAACCTGAGGTTGGGAGTTCGAGACTCGCCTGACCAACACGGTGAAACCCTGTCTCTACTAAAAATACTGCATTAGATGGGCATGTTGGCACACACCTGTAATCCCAGCTACTCAGGAGGCTGAGGCAGGAGAATTGCTTGACGCTCTACCATTCACTGATCGTTGTGTCCATACACTGACCCACTTCATCCAGTCTCGCTCCAGGCATTGGCTTGCTCTTTCATCAATTCATAATTATCTTATTAACTCATGAGTCATTTATTTACGTGTTTAGAGATGGAGTCTTGCTCTGTTGCCCAGGTTGGAGTGCAGTGGCGTGATCCTCGGCTCGCTGCAACCTCTGTCTTCTGGGTTCATCCAGTTCTCCTGCTTCAGCCTCCTGAGTAGCTGGGACTACAGGTATGCACCACCATGGCCAGCTAATTTGTTTTTTTGTGTGTTTAGTAGCGACGGGGTTTCATCACATTGGCCAGACTGATCTCGAACTCCTGACCTCAGGTAATCCACCCACCTTGGCCTCCCAAAGTGCTGGGATTACAGGCGTGAGCCACCAGGTCCGTCCATGAATCATTTATTTATAGACTTAGCAGCCAATTCACTCATTAATGTGCCAATTCCAACCTTAATGCCATGTTTAAATAATTATTCATTTATCTACTGTTCATTCAGACATCCGCTCATCTATTCATACACAGGTTTATGCTGTCTACTTGACAGAAAATTATGAGGAAGCCAGGAAGGACTGTGTCGCGGTCACCCCGTGATCATATGCCCAATGTCATGTGTATTGGTGGACACGTGACAGGCACTGAAACATTTTGTTGAACAATAAATTCACCGATCAGTTCATCCATCCATTTGCCCAACCAACCATTTGTTTATCTCATTCACCCATTCAACACTCATTCATCTTTTAGTCTTTCATGTATCCCTTCATCCTTTAATCAGTTCATTCAGTTAATCTTCGTTGTCTTATAGTTTAATTCATTAATTCACTCATTCATTTATCATTTATTGCCGATTCATTAAGACACTCATAAGTTCACTCATTATATTATCCTCTTATCTCTTCATTCATCTTCTATCTATTCCAGTTCTTCCACTTACAGACAGAAATTTGGCAAGTTCTGAAGCTTATTTGAATCTCAGTTTCCATATATTAAGAAATGGGGCTGATAACAGCCTGCTTTGTGAAGATTCATGAGATAAAGAAATTCCTTAGTGCAATTCCTGGTATAGAGTCAGTTCTCAAGGAATGGTAGCTATTATTATTATTATTTTATTTATTTATTTTTTTGAGACGGAGTTTCACTCTTG